AAAAAAAGTAATTACGGGAAGTTGACAAAAAGCACGTTAAGGGTTTGAAGAGATTTCCCTTTCTCCACACCGCCCGAGCTGCCTGACGCTTGCTCGTTGTCCTAGGGACTGCTGGCAGATTGGGAAACAAATTCACTCTCCACCCCCGCCTTTTTTTTTTTTCCTGTTTGTTTTTTAGGTTTGTTTGGGTTGAGGTTTTTTGTTTGGTTTTGGCAAGGTCACTTGGGGGGGGGGGGGGGGGGGGGAATAATTTTATTTTAATACTGAGATCCAGCCCGCTTTTAAAAGTGTTAGAAACAGCCTTTCTAGCTCTGTTGGAATGTGGGTTCCTAGGAATTTTCTCAAGGGATGATAGAAAACTGGTTTTGACTTCAGGTGGCAGATTTTTAGCTAGGAGGAGCAGCCAGTGGGTCAGGCGTGTTCGTGTGTAGCTCCCCAGGTACAAAAGGCAGAGAGAGGCTTTTTTCAACCGACATTCTTCATGGATTTGAGTATGGAGGGGCGTGTCCATAGTTGGGACCGCTGGTAAGGACAGAAAGTGGGCTTGTGCAGCGCGCCTTTCAGTTGTTGCCTAGGACAGTACCACGGGTCTGCCTACAAATTCTGTCACTTGAAGGCTGATGTGTTTGAGGTGGTAAGGTGGATAAGGTTTGCAAAAATGTAGGACGGGCGAAAGAAAACCCCTGCAACCTTCTTTACCAGTTAGAGTTGTCTCAGGTGTGCTGAGGCTTTCACCATTTTGCGAAACCCTCAACACACCTGAAACAAGTTTGCATCTAAAGAGAGCACAGGTGATGCTCTTTAGGAAATATCTTGGGTTTAGTACACTAAACTTTAGCCTAGGCATTTAAAACCCTTATAAGTTAATAATAGCTTACAGTATTAGATCCAGAAATTTTCCTTCTGGACGAAAATCAGAGTATCGCATGGGTTTGGGTGTGGTAGAGTTTTCAGTGACCACTACCTTGAACTAAGTTCAGACTTCTAAGCTGAGAAGACATGGTCCTTAAGGAGTCAATTTATTGCTATATGTGAAAATACCTAGAAAACAGATAGATTGAAGTGTATAATCTGTTTTTTGTTTAAGTATGACAAGGAAATTTACTGATCTCAAATCTAAGGAACAGAGCAACTTGATTTTTAGAATGAATGCAGTAAGATGGTGGTCCGTAAGTTGTGGTGGGTGTTGGTATGGGCTGTTGCTTGCAGGTTATTATGATAAGTAACTTCCCACAGTTTTTCTTTTCCCTTGGCATGCTGGTGAAGTTGTGTTTCTTAGTGTTATCTAATCTGCTGGAGCTGCATCATCAGCACTAATAATTGTATCTCACAAGAAGCTCACGCTGCTCACTGAGCAACTTCGGTATCTGTGCAGCTCCTTGGATAAGTAGGGGTATACACATGCATCAAGATGCATCTGTGCCAACAGGTTTGAACAGATTGGTTTAGTCAGAGCAAGTTCAGCTCTGTCTGGAACCTGTCTGCATAGACATGCTGTTAAGTATTTGTAAAACTGGATTTCAAAAAGGGAGAAATAAAACTGGAGGGGCTAGATTTTGAATTGCTTGATGATTGTTCATATCATAGGTTTATCAATGTTCTGTTTCTCTGTCCTGTCATGCTTTCATGTATGACATCTTGCACAACTAATTTCATGTTTCTTACAAGTGCTTTGCTTTAAGATGTTGGGATTATGTTTGCCTAGCTATTACTAACATTTCCAAAGCCATGTTTTTAGCATAGAAATTGTTAAAGGAAGTACTCTGGAAAACTGAGACCTAGGCATCTCAGGCTTGTGGATTTTCGTTATACTGTTTGTTCCAGTTTCTTATTTATAAACTGCAGAGTATATCTCTCCCCCTGCACTTTATAGGATATTATGAAAATAAACTCATTGATATTTGTGGAGCACTCAAATGCCATTGAAATGTTTCTGAGAAAATTTATTCCTTTATATTCAGAACAGAATGAAGCAGCATGCAGAAAATTAAGCAGGCCATACCTTCAGCAGTGAAAATAAAGCAGTGTAACAAATAACCAGTTTTCCAGTGGAAAAAAAAAAAATCTGTCCTATGCATGAAAACCCAGGAATTGCTACTGTGGGTCACAGCCATTCTTCACCTGTTCTTATCAATGATGTTGACTAGTCTCAGATGTGTCTGAGGAAAAGGAGAGGCTATAGAAGGCAGATGTGAGGTAATACTATCCCACAGATGTCCCGTCCAAATCTTAAATAGCTGAATACAAGCACTGGAGCAATAGTTAAATATAACTTTGAATTTTGTGACTCAGATAGCTGGGTGGTCTTTATACTGGTATAAAAGTTTAATATCTCTATAGCATTAAAACCCTGTAATGGCAGTTGGTTGCAGAGTACCATTGTGAGTTACATAAAAACGCATCTTTAGATTTTTTTCTTATGTATTTACTTTATTGATTATCCTCTTGTGTTTTGACACAATGAAAACAAGTTCCTACTTCCTGCTTTCTCTGTACCATTCATTATTTTATATACTTCCATCATGTCTGCTTCCTGAGGTAAAATTTTTCACTCTTTTCAATCTCTTTTCCTATGAGAATTATTTCCAGCTTTTGATCATTGCCTTGCTTCTCTCTCAGGTCTGTTTAGTTCTACAATATTCTATTTTTTGGCAAAGGTGACTTATGCTGCATGCAGTATTCCAAGCAAGGTTATGCCTCTGATTACAATATATATGTATTTGATATTACTCCCTGACCTATTTCTTATGGAATCCAGCATGTTAGGCTTTATCTTTTGCTACTGCTACATACTGAGTACAGGGCTCTATCGACTTTGGAGGTTATATAGCTTGTTTGAAGTTTGTCTTGTGCACAATTGAATCTCAGTGCCGAATGTCTTTTGTCATTGCACTGTTCATTCATTTAACAGAAGTCATACTGAAGTTACTCACAAATCCTCCTTTTCCCAAATATGTTTTTCATAGCTTCAGACTCTGGCACCTCACTATTCTTCACCTGGTCCTATTCCTTCCTTTCTTGGTTGTCTGAGCTAATGTATTAACACTGGACTGAGCATAAGGCCTGGAAGCACCGTGCTGTTAACGTTGTAATAAAAACCAACTTGGATTCTCTTGCTTGAACCAGATACTAATTCATGACAATAATTTGCCTTTTTGCCCTAGCATCTTACTTGTTCCTTCGGTAGCTCTTTGCATGGAATCTTGTCAAATACCCTTTGGAAGTCTAAATAAATTGTGCCAACCAGCTGTGCTCCCATATTTGGATTTCATGTTTCCCTTGCAAAAAGGATAAATCAAAGTCATGAAAACAATCCTAAGATTTCAGAACTTCTACATGAGAGACTTTGCAACTAGAACATACTTTTCACTTTTTTTTATATGAGCATTCTTGTGGTTATTAATGATCAAACAAGAACAAAAGCCCCAGGAATTCTTTATGGAGAATCACACAGGCTCCTCTCTGATATAGCATCAGGTTTACAAGCTTTTCATTCTCGGCATGGACTTCAGTACCATCTCTAAGAGGCAGCAGTTACCATTCCTGATGAGGATCAGCTGCTGGAGTGCTCTGTACTTGTTGCTGGGGTTTTCAGGCCTTTACTGGCAAAGGGGAGTTATGGCTTCTCTAGCAGGTTCTAGTGCAGTCTTTCTCTGGGGCCTCATTCAGCTCTTCCCTGTGCCAGCCCATGCTGCCTCAGCTCCACATCGTCATGCCCCATATCTGTGCCTCTGTATAAGCCTACGGAAAGATAATACTCTGATTACTGTAGGGACAACTTAAGTACATACAGTAATGTTAGCTATTAGAAGACAATGCATAAACTTTGTAAGTGACATAATCACACACTGAGACTAAAAGCTGTACAGCTACTCTGGGGAGTCACTTATGAAACTTGCATTAACGTAAAAGCAATTTCTTCTTCATAGCTTTAAGTCAGATCACTGTGTAAAATTAAAAAAAAAGTGAATTGTAGGTTTAATCTTGCTTGGAGTAATAGTGTTCACTTTCAGGTTTGGACTTAAAAATTTGACAAGGAACAGACCTTGTATTCCTTCCACTTATTCAGAAATTATAGTTTTTGTCCACCCCAGGCACATCTCATAACGGCTTTGTCCTCTTGCCTTGGAGGTGGGGCTTTGGCTCTGTTTTCCTTTGTGGTATGCAAGTGAGCATATCAAAATCAGCATGACAAATGGCATGATCATTGACAGTCTCAGTTTAGCTCAAGAACTTGGGGCATGCAAGGAAACAGATCCCTCTTTCCTGAAATTTGAAACTGTGGGTGCAATTTTGTAATTTGTGCAATCAGTTTTTGCTTATCTGTAAGAAGTTAAGCAAGTAAAGCGGGTATGGCTGACAAAAGAAAATATGTGGGTTTAGGGCTTTTTTGTCTAGTTTTTTTTAATAGTGGGATGACTAACTTATTTTTACCACAGACTGATTAGTGCATAGCAAGGGCAAGGCGGGAGGTTTACTGCAGGTGCCCTAAGCAAGAGTGACCTCGCTTATCTGACCTTGTCTAACTACATACTGAAATGTCTATCTCCACTTAAGTTTTTGCATCAGCAAACTGTATCTAGCTATACAAAAATCACTGTATAAATCAACAACAACAAAACAAAAGCCTAAGAGATGTTTACACTTGATAGCTGATCTATTTTCAGGGCAGAATGTTAAATAACTCTTCATAACTATGTCTGGGCACTTTTATTCTGTTTAATGTAGTCTACTCTAAACAAAATAACTTAATGATCAGCCAAGTATTTTCTTAGTTGAGTCTATGCTAAAAGTTTGGTTTGTTTTTTATATTTAAGGAGCAGTGTCTCAAATTATTTCTGTCCTTGGAAGACAATGTTAACTTTGCCTTGCAGAAGTACAAGCAATGCAATCATAATGAATGAAATATACTAATTCTACTAAACATTATTTGGTGTAACAGTAAATAACATATTTAGTTTTTGTATGATGAAAAACCTAACTTGTAGTACTTGTTACAGCTGTGAACTAAGGAAATAATGGTACCGTATCTTAATATTTTGGAAATAGAAACTTCTTGCTAAGGATGCTCTGTCACCATTCCCTGCCATAAGGGGGGAAGGCTTGTGTAGGAAATGCTGCCTTCTGGGACTGCAGATTTTTCCATGCCTTTTTAGCTGAATGTAAATGTGAATGTTGGTTATTAGGTATAACAGTACAGAAAATAAAAATATTTAGGTCTACAACCTTGTGTTCAACAAAGATTGAAAAGGATGTAGACTTGTTAAAAGTAGTGGGATTTTATGACAGGCCACAATTAAACACTGTGTACTGAATGTAGAAAAGCATTTACTGTATGCTAAAAACTCTCTGCTGTACCTGCTCTGAATATATGTTGGGAGCTTTGTTTTGAAAGCTGTCAGCTTTTTATTTTCATAGGTATTGCATCCACTTTATTATTTTTACTACTGCAATTGTTTTGTTAATCCTCAGTGTTACACAATTTAAAATACACAAATTAATTATTCTAAGCTGGGTGTAATTTTTACATATTTAACTGCGAACGGGATACTCTTATCAATATTGTAGATGCATTACAGAGATTTTGAGTGACTAATCAAATTTACAGCTTTATGGCATAGGTTCATCAATTGAGCATATAAGCAGGCTATTAATGTTATCTTATTTACTAAGCATTTATGTACATACTAAGCTAAACAGATTCAGTGACTGAGATGCAAGTGTGTAAAATTAGGGACTATGCATTCGTCTTGCAGGTGACACTGGTGAGCTGATCTTTTCACCTGGGATCCACCATGAAAAGATGTCTGATGATTAAGGAAGAGTTGGATTTTCACTGCTCAAAAAGGTGTGTAAGGTTTTTAAAGTGACAGGTAATGGGTGTTGACTAACTTTCTCTAAAATCCTAGACATAGCCTGAGGCCCTAGTCTTCTCAAGGCAAATGCACCTTGTGATGATTTGGGACTGTGTCTGTCTGCAGTTATAATGTAGGGCATCAAGAAAGATTGCTAAACCTGCATGTGGCCCATCCAGGTGTGAGTATTAGGAGGCAATGAGAGTGCTACACTCTAAGAAAATTAATTTAAACAAGATTTTGTTGGTTTTAGGGAGGATCACAGGAATTGGATTGGTGCTTCTGCTCTCCCACACTGAGTACTTCTGTACTAGGAAGAATAAGTCACATGTTGGTGCTTGATTTTAAGACCCAAATCCTGAAGGTTTGCAGATAAAAGAGGATTGAGCAGGGGAGAGATACAGGAGTGCATGCTCTCTGTCTTCAGTAGTGCTGACACTTCTGATGTCTGCATGGGGCTTTCTCCTTTCACTGCTTTCACTTTCACGTGCTCTTTCTGCATGTGATCATCAGGATGTTTCTTACGAATTTTGAAGTAAAATAATGCACCCTACAGAATTGTTGGTTTGGTTTTGTGTTGGGGATTTTTTTGTGGTTTTGTTTTTTTTTTTTCCTTTTTGGTTTTTTTTTGTTGGTTGATTTGTTGTGTGGTTGGTTTTGGGGCTTTATTTTTTTTTTTTTTTTTTTTTGGTTAAACTATGATGTGTTGGTGGAGTTTAAACTGTAACCTAGGAGCATCCCCAGGATTGGATTTTTGGCACATTGCGCTTAGATAAGGGTATTCTCTGGGCAGTCCATGAGCAGCTTGAGACAGCTAGTTTATTTTGTCAAGGCCTGAGGCAGCCTGTCACCAAGTAATCTTTCACAATGTCCAAAATGAATGTAAGGGATCATGGATCTCGAAACACAGTGACCCTATGAATATCTGTCTTGGGCACAGCATGGGACCTGTGACAACCCTTAACTGTAAATAGTGTGAGAAGCCTTATGTAAAGCAAGTGACATTCTGGCAGGCAGTCCCTAAAACTGTGTTATAAGCATTTGCTTTTGTGGGATTTGGGCACTTGGATGTTTTTAGAGTGTAAATACTCCAACAGTCCTTCATGTAAATATTTTTGTGATAGTCTTTGCGATTTTAGAAGTCTTTGGGAGTCTTTAAATCAACTTTGTATAAAATAACTTTAAATAAAGTTATCTCAAAATCCAGAAATCTTGGGGAACATTCTCAGGACTTCTTAGGTGCTCTGTGGCCTGCATGATTAGCTGTGTGGTAGGAGTCATAGCCAAGGGGGGGCAGGGTAACTGCCCTGGGGGCTCAGGGAAATTGTGGTTATGAATTAGGAGATGCTTAAGGTAGAAGCAGTTGAGCTTGGATCCTCAGTGTAAAGTTAGTATATAACAGCCTAAACTTTTAGTGTGAATGTTTCATGTCTTGATAAGAAGCAGTCTCTGGACACTTAAGTGAAACTACATAAACAAGCTGTACATCCTCATGGAGCAAACATAAATCTTTACACAGCTGTTAATCATATGTTGATCTGTTAACTATTAAGACACTAAAAACTGTTCTTCCACCTTCCATTGCAGTTAAAAGATGTAGTAAGAGCTACTATCGTAATAACAGCAAGTATTAGAATCTCTTGTACCTGCCCCACCTCTGTACCCATTATGAGATATAACAAAACCTGAGTCTGAGTCATTAGTCTCCTGAGGAGCTGGAATTTAATCACCTGGATGCTTAACAGTCTTATGTGGGATCATCAAATGGCTAAGGATCTGACTTCAGCTGTTCAGAGATAAACTTCAGGTGTGGAGATATTTGATTAACTGGTTAGTCCTGAAAAGTGGAAGGAAGAAGGCTACACCGAGTTCGAATGACTTTCAGTCTTTGTGTTGGGTTGTTTACATCTTTACAAGGTGCTAATTGTCTCTTACCTGTGTGTAGTTAAGGCAGATGATTGGCATCTATTTCAGTCTCTTGCAAGTGTGTCTGCAGACACAAGATCTAAGCAAGCTGCATATAGTTAGGTCCTGGTTAGCACTTCTTTTCTTAAATCACATTAGTTTAAGACTGAGTAACTTCTCCTTGAAGACAGAACCTTTTAGCCTTAAATATGAAATGGAAATGTTGAAAGTTTAAAAAAAAACTGTATTTTTGACTTTTCAATGGAAAACTAATTGATATTGAACCAATGCATGTGTTCTCACTAATTTCTCTGAAAAGAAACTGCTGCAGGTTTAATACTAGATAAATAATATATACCTGCAATAAACTCTAGTGGATGCAAAGCACTCTGTAACTGTGTGCTGTCGAATTGTTCACCCATACCTATTCATGGTTAACATGTCTAATTCATGATAAAATATAGACGTACTCAACTGTGTGTGATTATGTCATGTGGTTAGTAGGAGCCATGTTGCCATGAGCAGTGCTGCTCAGGAGGGCAGTAGAGCAATAGCTGCTACTATTGAATCTAATTTCTTCTAGAATAAAGAGTGTTTTAATCAGCAGTGATAACTGGATAGACACCATGTTGTAAGTGGTGTACAATGTTGAAATGGATATGACAACTACGGCCAAAGTGGTGATCAGTACTTACCCTTACTGAGGGTTTGGAAGATTTTTTTGGAAAAGAGGGGGTTTACGCAATGCATAGGCTTACGAACTGTTTTATAATTAGAGAAGTTGGAAATGCTGAAATAAATTTAGCACATACCCTATTTTTTTTCTGTTTTAGTTTCCCCATTTAATTTGAAGTTTTAATCTGCTTCTTTAACACAAACACTGAACCACATACTTGAGACAGACAAAGATAAGGATTATGTAGGAGAGTAGGAGACAACAATCATTGCTTGTTAATTAATTTGTTGTCAGTAAATGTCATCTTCCAAAACATGGTTTCTCAAATTCCTCAGTTTTTAGAAGTGGAATAGCTTTATATTTGTATAAAGGTTAAAACTCTGAGAGCTATTATTCATGCTGAATAGGGGATGTTGTATTAGACAGAATTTTGTTAAATGCAGAAGTTTAAATAAAGCTTGTTTACAGAGGTAAACACTTAGAGAAAACTATTACTTTCTTAGAGTGCTGTACTGTTGTTTTTTTTTTTTGTAGTAATACAGTTAATGTATTGCTAGTTCTAGTATGAAAACGTGAACATTGCTAATAAAACAGTGTAATTTCATGGGTGTTATAAATCTAAGGAAAAGAACAATAACAGAATGTGTTTATTTAATATTTTTGCTGCCTCATATTAATATACAGAACACTTCAGACTGATATTCTGTTCTATATATATGGATGTGTCCTGGGCTTACAGAAATGTATGTGCTTATGAACATAGTTGTTCAGTGTAGTAACCTGTCCTGACTTTCACTGTTGGTGTGAATCTCAGAAGAAAGCACGAAGCAGAGAACATTTGCATACAAAGCTTTGCATGCATCCCCGTGTGTGTCTATATGCACACAGTGCTGTTAGTTATATAACGGATTATTGACAATGGTATTTTATCAAAGTTCCTTGTTGTCTTGCCGCACTAACTGTAATAATGCATGTACAGATGGAAGATACTATATTGCAAATTTGGTAACAATATTACTTTTGGAAGGCTTAGTGAATGGAATGCCTAGCAGAAACAATCATTCTGGTGTGCGTGTTGTGCCAGCATCTGCTGGGAAATGAGATGCCTCTGCAAAAGTTCTCTGTAGACTGGCCAAAATCTAAGTCTGTCCAAGTGACATGTATCACAGTAAATTAGTTTTGAGCACTGCTAACAGTCTGATCTTGTCATTGTGGTGTTCCTGCTTCACTAATTAGCTGAGATGTAAGGCTTACTATTGATGAAATACCACAGGAATATAGCCATACTACTTCTCACTCTCAAAGTTAGCTTCAGTCTTTCATGTCTGTGTAGCACAGTGTTACTCATGACAACTGCTAAGAAAGTCATGCTAATGATTATCTTCCACAATGCACTTTCCCTGAAGTGGCTGAACAACTTGCTATAGAGCATCCCTGTCAGGAATGCCAGTTATACTTCAAAAGTGTAAAATTTTGTACAAATAAGATAAGGTTTGTTGGTGGCCCAGCGTCAAGAGTAGCTTAAGGCAGCAGAAAGGCAACCAGGTGTTGGTGGAGACAGAGACACAAGACTACCTGGAACTACAGACTGCATGGACAAGTAAGCTGCTTTGAGTGGGAGGCTAGTATTACTCAAGCAGCCACACTTTGGTGTTCAGATGGTCTTGGAGCTCAGTAGTGAGACTTTGGCCTAGTTCAGATTTATGGAAGGACTTCAGTGAGGCAAGGTGCTATAACTTCTAGTTCTGCTAGCATTCAAACTGCTGCACTTCTCAGTTGTTTAATTTCTGCAATATAAATGGACCTGATCAGCAAATTAATAAAGTGTAACTTGCTTTGACAGAGCCAGAGGGAGTTATAAAAGAGATATACTGGAGACAGAAGAACGAGACATGCTGCAGAAGAAGCAGTGAGGCTCCCATGAGTGCCTGGTGATGTCATATTGTGCTTTGCTGTCAGTCTGTTGACTCGCATACACTTCAAAAGAGCTCTCTGGGGAGCCAGTTATACGAATCACTGGCTGATGCATTGTGAATCACGACGGTACGTTTTTTTGTTTGGATGGGCCTTGAGTGTGCCTAACGCTGCTTTGAAACCTCATCTAATGCCATAGGAGCTTGGGGATTTCAATAAAAGTGGGGCAGTAGGGAAAACCTGCCTTCACAGATGTGATCAGTCAGAGCTGCTTCTGGGTTGGCTGGTTTTCTGTTCTTTAGTATCATGTAGTGCTCCTGCTCAAAGCTGTGGAAGCAGCAAGAGCCATGAGTGTCATGTAAGCCAAATAGAGAAGAAACCAAAAACTGAGTGAGTGTTCTGTCTTCATGGCTTGTCTGAGGGAAGCTGCACTCCAAAGATCTGGCCAGGGCAAAGGCTTCTGGGGATTAGGGTAGGGGCTGCCAGGTGCTGCTTTGGCATGAAGTTTTCACTTAGGAATAAATGATTGCTGCTCCTTTAAGGAGCAGGCAGTAAAGGGTACCCAGTAGCACTGAATGAACCTTGAAATGTTACACTCATAACAAAGAAGAACTAGATGAGGAGTTTTATCTGGAATTCCTAAGGAAAGGAGGTTTACATAATTATGCTGCCCTTGTCTGCTGATCTGCCTGGGTTCCTCAGTAACTTGAGAAGTTGTAGGACAGTTTCAGGTGAATTTTTATGGAATTCAAATATCTTAAAGATGCTTTGTTCTTGATGATAGTGATTAAGTGGGTTAAGTAAGGCCTGAATCTCTGCATAGAAGGAAAGGCTTTGAAAGGAGTTCAGTTATGTTGTTAGACAGTGACACACGCACAAGGGGAAGATACTGAATGCCCCAAGCACAACAGAAAAGGTGGTGACAGTTTGTATCTCAGTTGAAATGGGACAGTACAAACAAAACTGCAGGTAAACATGAAGAGCATTTCACTCCCTGTGAAACTATTTGGGCCTTTTAAAGTTTTGATGAATCGTTTGTGGGTTTAAAGCCGAAGTTAGACTTACAGTTACAAACCCTCAGGCATAACTATGGTGATTGCACAGATGATGAGTGACTTATCAACACCAAATCTGATGTCTACTTGACTCCTCTCCTTAAAAAAAAAACCAAACCACTACACCAAAACAAATATTCATCTTGGTGAAGTTAGTTCTGTGCAAAGATGTTAAACCAATAGCTTGGCTTGTCTGTTCCTCATCAGAGTTCAGTTTCTAGGGTCCAGCACACAGAAGTCAGTAATATGTTCAGTTGTCTTCCTCTTCTTTTTAATTACAGTATATCACCAGTGGAATTTAAACAATGGGCAACTGATGACTTTTATTTAAATTGCTGATAATAGAATAACGCTTTCAACTATGTTGTCAGAAGTATTTCTTTTTAATTTTTAATAACTAATGGAAATCAGTTCTCTCTTAAATTAGTTGAAGCAGTGGTTGTTCCTGTACTTTGAAAGTATAGAACTGCCTATTTAAAGACTTGCAGATCAAAGAGGATATGGTTATGAAGCATTAAAACAAACTGCAACATCCAGGTCAGAGATTATCTATGAACATGCTGACAATTCAGGAGTTACCAGAGCTGTGCGGGTTTGCCTCTTGCTTTCATGCTGAGAATGGAGGAAATCCCCCTTCTCCCGAGGAGAAGCCAAGGAGATAATTTTTGTGTATTTTAAAATTAATAGGGGTGAACATTTGCAAGGAAGTTAGGGTATTCAACTTCTCATGTTTCTTCACAAAAACCAGGAGGGTTATTTTTGATGTCCTTACTTAATTCAGAGATGTTGTGATTTCTGCCTACTTCCTGAGGACAGAACAGGTTCTGATCTCTGACTCCCAATTTACTGACTCATTCTTTCATGGCTATCAAAGATTGTAGAGTCGATCCTGTTTTGTCAATAGCAGTGATCACAGCAGTTACAGCTTGAAAAAAAATATGTTCAGCTGTGAAGACACAACATAATCATTACTGTCCAAACCTCCGATTTTAACTTGTTTCTAAGTTTTTTCTGGTATTTGCAGTGTCGAATTGCAATACTTTTACTTAATAATTTACAAAACACATAAAATACATTTTAAGTATGTGGATAACTTTTATCATTAGAATAGGGGAGTTAAAAGCCAAGGGACCTGACTTCTGTATCTGACACTGAAGGGCTTGGCACAGGGAACCAGCAGTGGTTTCTCCATATCTGTAAAACCAGGACGGCTCTTACTGCTGAGCAAATACTGGGGAAAAGGTTCTCTCCAGTTAACATGATGCCATTTGCATTGCCACAAATATGACCAAGTTCACAAGATTATTTTGTGCTGTTTTGGTATGTATCCTTTGCCTTCTTGTGAAGTTACTGTATATGCTGTAATATTTTCTGGGCATTACTACAGGTCAGTCAGTCTCGCTTCTGTGCGCAGCAAGATCATGGAGCAGATCCTCCTGGAAACTATGCTAAGGCACATGGAGATCAAGGAGGTGATTGGTGATGGCCACCATGGCTTCACTAAGGGCAAATTTACTTACCAAATTTGGTGGTGTTCTCCAATGGGAGTACAGCACTGGTGGATAAGAGAAAAGCGACTGGCACATCTACTTAAACTTGTGCAAAGCATTTGACACTGCCCTGTGCAACATCCATCTCCATTCTAAAATGGAGAGGCATGGGTTTGATGGATGGGTCACTTGCCCTAGAAAATGAACATGGGGGTTTCTCTGTGTGTGGTCGTATAATTTGCATGTATACATGATTCTGAGCTCACTACCTATTGTCAGTTGTCTCTGCTGGCGTACCTTCTATAATATGGCTAAGTTATGGTTTACTCGAGTGGTTTTGCAGGTGGTAGTTTAATGTAGGACTTGCTGCAGAGGCAGAACTATAACTTCTTTTTATGATTGTGCTATCTGGTCCTCCTCTGAGTCAGATATGGATGTCCTAGCCAAAAAAAAAAAAGCCTATTATCAGAGCTGTGGCTTCTCTGATTAGTATATAAGGGGAGCTGGACTAGTAATGAATTGCATATCTGAGTTCTAGAAAGGCAGGTGCTGTCTGCTAAATGTGTGCCAAAAACTCCAGTGTCAACAGTAAGGGTGAATGATGTAATGCCACCTTACAGCCAGAACCACCCTGAGATCATGAGCTCATTTCATATTAAATAATAATGATCAGTTGGAATTCTTTATCATTGCTAATCTGCCAACAGATTTACTAGTCAATTTTGTCTTGAACATGGCAAGGAGATTGGGGCAGCTCTTTCTGCTAGAGCCTCTGTTGGGCCAAAACCACCAAATCAGGTATTTTGGCTGTGCTGCTGCCAGTATCTAACATAAAAGTAATTTTTAACTGTTTGTAGAATGAACATCGAAAACCCCAGTGCAGATGTAGAGATTCTAGCAGGAGAAAGGAGTGGGAGGCAGTAAGCTGCTAGGAAGGGAGTTTTGGCAAAGATCCCTGTGTGCTACTTGCATCCTTAGCTGTATTTTCCAAGCTCTTCTAGCTGTTACAGTGAATGATAGTCTTGGGAGACCTCAGAATTCTCAAGCCTTTCATGACAAACTTGGGTAATTCTCCTTTTAGGAAATATTACACTATTTTGAAGTAATAAAATTCTGCAGAGATGTATGTAAGTGGGTCCATAAAG